TGTTACAAGATTTTTGGAGATTTGTGAAGTTACTTTAGGCCTGAAGGTTAATTTCCACAAGTCTTCTATGGTAGGAGTCAGTTGCAGTGTTAGTGTTGTGATTGAGCTGGCTGTGACTATGGGATGCAAAGTGGACTCTTTCCCTATTACTTATTTGGGGCTTTCGGTTTCAGACTCTAAATTCTATATTGTTGTTTGGGAAAAGGTGATCGAGAGAATTCAATATAAGTTAGATCTTTAGAAACACAAATACCTTTCTCTAGGAGGAAGGGTGACTTTGCTAAGATCGTGCCTTGCGAATTTGCCGGTATATCAAATGTCCTGAATACAAATGCCAACTACAATTGCAAAGAGAATAGAAAAGATGGTGAGAGATTTCTTTTGGGGTTCCAGCAGTAAGAATAGGAAGTTCCATTTATTAAGGTGGGATAGAGTTTGTACACCCAAGCGTGAAGGTTGTATGAGTATACAGAAACTGATGAGGTTCAATCAGGCCTTGCTTTGTAAATGGTGGTAATGTAGCATTCACCTGAAAGATCACCTGTGGACCCAAGTGTTGAGGACAAAGTATGGGACGGATAGGCAAAATCTATAGATAGGGGGTGGTAAAGGGAAGGATGTGTCTTTTATATGGAGGGCTATCTTCAACTGTAAGAATATGGTCTCGGGCTATTTTAGATGGAATGTGGGTTGTGGTGCTCAAATCTTGTTTTAGCACCACACGTGGATTGGAGAGTGCCCGTTGAAGGTTATTTTCCCTGACCTCTTTAAGGTAGTTTCAAATTCTTATCATAAAATATGTGACGTAGTGGAGAGTAGAGGTCAGCAGTTGGTTTGGGATATACCCCTTACATACAGAAGACTTAACAATACCATGTTGTCCCAATGATGTACTTTGATGGAACTTTTGGATAAAATTTATATTTCTTCGGGGGCAGAAGATATTTTTATATGGGAGATTGAAATGGATGGTATTTTCTCGTTTAAATCATGCTATAACCTTTTCTTCGATGATCATTGGAGATGACCGTCCCCCCAAATTGTGTAGATATGGAAATGGCCAATACCACACAAAGTTCAAATTTTCATTTGGCTAGCCTTGTAAGATAAATTACTAATAATTGACAACCTGCAAAAAAAGGGGAAAGTGTTACGTAATATATGTTTCCTCTGCAAACATAATAGTGAATCAGTTGATCATCTCTTAATCCATTGTTCGTATTCTACAGATTTGGCACTGGATTATTGGAGATGTTGGTTTTTTTTTTCCACTGCCTCAGAAAGTGATTGGGTTAGTTTCACAATTTAGTGTCCTATGCCTTCCCAAGGTGGGTGCTACGATATGTAAGATTGCTAAAGGTCTGATCCTTTTGGAAGTATGAAAGGAGCGAAATAGGCGGACCTTTGAGGGTGTGGGGTTACCGGTAGACAAGCTTATTCACCTTATCAAGTTATCAATCTGGTCTTCTTTATTGGTGGCTAAGGATGGGTGGGGTATTTCTAAGGTTGATATCATGGTCAATCTGCACAATCTTTTTTTTTGGGTTTTAGACTAAGCAGACCCAAATGTTTATGGTATACCCCACCTTTTGGAAGTTTTAAGTTAAATTTTGATGGCAGCTCTATGGGAAACTCAGGACCTGCAGGAATTAAAGGAGTTATTAGAGATTGATATGGAAATGTTGTGTTTTCTTATGCAGGTCCTATTGGTGTTGCTACGGCTAATTGTGCGGAACTCACTGCTTTGTTAAGGGGTGTCCAAACTTTTATTGGGAAGAATTTAGGTCATAATTTTTTAATTGAAGGGGACTCTCTATATGTTATTCGGTGGTGCAAAAAGGAGTAGAGGGTTCTATATGAATTGCGTTCATTTTGGATGAAAATTTTGGATGTGGTGGATTGTCTTTCTGTCTCTTCACCCAAGTCTACCGCGATGCTAATGACATCACCGATGCATTGGCAAAAAGGGGTGTTTCTCTCTCTTCTTTTACTGTTTTAAAAAATGTAATCTCACATTAAGAATTGATGAAGTTGTTGAACCTTGGTAAAACAAATATCTTTGTGATAGCCTTAAAGTATATTTTCATCTTTAATTATAAAATTTAAAGCATAAAAAATAGAGTAGATCTATGAAAACTTGAAAATCTGGAAAATTGACGGTGAAAAAAAGTGTTACAAGTGCACTACTTCCAAAACTTGAAATCGATTTTTTTCTCATGTTCATGCATCTTGATATCAAGATGATCAATTTGAGGATATTTGGGCATCAAAACAACCTCTTCTAATATGAAGTTTTTGATGTGGACTCTAATTTGATTGTTTAGAGCCTTGGCTCTACATAAACTTTCTCCATACTTAAATGATTGTTAGATTGTGTTACGTTCAAAATACATTTAGAGGGCATCATAATGTTTAATTATTTGGTTAGAAATCCTTGGGGGGACAATTGCTAATTTTTTCCCTTCCTTTAAAGTGAATTTATTTTCAAGAAAAATTTCGTATATATGATAGTGGAATTTTTTTAAGGAAAAAGTTTATGTAAGGTTCTATTTTTAGGGAAAATTATGGATATTCTTCAAAAATCAACTCTGTAGACATTTTGCCCCTAAAACTTTTAGTATCACACCCATGACATAGTTTTTGTTTTTGTTTTTTTGCTTTTACCCTCAGTCAAAAAGTCATTATTTTAAAAACTAAACTTCTTTTACTCTACCCATTAAATCTCCTTCTCTCTCTACCGGCTCTTTCTCTCTCTTTCTATCTCTCCCTGCCTTCTCTCTACCCACGTAGAAAGAGAGAGGACGGGTAGAGAGAGAGAGGAAGAGAGCTAGGGCAAGTAGAGAGAGGGAGATGGAGAGAGGGGACAGAAAGGGTGGTTAGAGAGAGATTTAGGTAAAAGAGGGGAAGGGCAGTTTAGTCTTTAAAACAATAACTTTTTAACTAAGGGGTGAAAGCAATAAAAAACTATAACTAGGTCATGTGTGTGATACTCAAAGTAATGGGGGGTAGATGTCTGCAAAGTTCATTTTGGGGGTATTCATAATTTGCCCTTAATTTTATATCATAGAAGTAACGTGCACCTAAAAATCCATATATAAATAGTGTTTCGACATTAAAAAAACTCTATGATTGTTCACCAAGACCTCAAGATGTATAAATATAAAAGGACAAAGGATTTTAAGTCCTAAAAACAATATATCTTAAAACACATTATCTAGACTATTAGATTTGGTGCTATCCAAAAACACCAACATAAGGTGGTTTCCTTTAGAGAGAATTTGTGTATCTTATTTGGGTCACCATATAGAAAATGTGGTTTATTCTAGAGAGTAGTCTCGTTATAGAATAGAGATGACTCTATGTTCCAAAATCTTTGATGTAACCTTCATTGGTATAATAGATTTCAGTTTGCCCCTGTGGATGTAGCCCATATAAGGTTGTTTCATGCTTTATTTCTTGTACTTTATTTGTCAAAAACCAACCTGTCGGGTTTTGAGCTTTCACGCACAACATAGACCACCTATTTTAATTTTTTTAAAATGTTTATAGATTTGCTGGACATACATAATTTTTGGACTTTTAAATTTCATTATTTAGAGTGAAAAGAGATTGTTAGGCCATCGTAAGGGTTTCTAGCACTGTAGCTACATTTTTAGTAAGATTTAGTGGTGCTCCTTAGGAGTTATCAAGGTTTACATCTCATAAAAACCACACCCTTTATTAATATTAATATTGATATCCATTCTAAATACCATATATGTGATATTGGTACTTAATCACTAATGTCTTTATGTAAATTACTACAGGATTGGTATTATGGAATACCTTTAATCGCACTAAGTAATCTTGTAGGGCAATGCTCGTAAGATATTGGTAGTTGTGGATATCGATACCTCACATGTGTTAAGTTCTCAAACTAATGGTGTTTCCAAACACCACTATCTCACTATGAATACTATGCGAGATATTAATATTTTTAAATAGTAACATCTCACCAAATAAGTCACCCTGCGAGATATTGATGTTTCAACTATATCACTAACTCAAAAATACCAATATTTTGCTGGGGGTTTAAAGTGGAATATTAACATTGAAAACACCATTATATCTATGCAGTTTTACTAAAAACCACTTCGATTTTGATGAGGGGCAAAATTGAAAATTTCCTCAATAGTTCACAAGTGACTTGATTAAGCCTTTTGAAAATAGAAAACTTAATGGAAAAGAAAAACTAAAAAGTGAATTTCTTGAATGTGGTAAGATAAATTTCCCTGTTATCCTTTTGGAGTTACAGATGTTTGCTGTCGGTACCATACTTCTTAAATGGTGCGGACCATGGAAGAAGTGGTCCTACTCATCTTCCTGATTTTGTAATGCCTCTCATTTTATCTGATGTTGCTTGTATCCCTTGTCAAATGTTGTATAAGGTACGTTCATGTAATATTTTTCTGGTTTCTTAATAAAACAGGTAGGGGCCCGATATCTCCACTAATTCACCCAAAAAAAAAACATCCAAAACATAGAACCTAGCCTCTTTTTGGTTAGGTACTTGGGGTTCGAATGTTAAAAGCTGCCTGTGGCCCAATAAACACTAAGCCGAGAGCCTTTAAACATGATCCCAAATCCCTATTCCATTATATCATAGTTCTAGTATTTAAAAAAAATTCCATTCTGGATCCAAATTGCTCAATCTGAATCGACCTAGTATGAGAGTTGGCAAGTGGGAAAGAATCATGTATTCAGCAATAATTTAGAATAAATAACTTTAAAGACACCATTTATGGAATTTTAGAATCTAGGGCAATAAGAAGAGATCCATGAGCTTGAAAAGGCAGAAGTGATGGTCTCACGCTGCCTTCTCTTTATCCTTGCATTTTTTCATAGTTTTAGATCTTCTAGTTTAGGGATGGTCTTGTTACTTCACAAAGTGTTGTATTAGTTTCATTTCCACAAATTGAATTGTTGTATTGTCGATCTCCTATTAAAACTAATGTTTGCAGGAGCCTTCTCTCGATCTGCTGTGAACCACAATGCAGGAGCCAAAACGGCAGTATCAAACATAGTCATGGCAGCTACAGTCATGGTGACCCTGCTCCTTCTGATGCCCCTGTTCTTCTATACACCAAATGTGGTTCTGGGTGCCATTATAATCACAGCAGTGATAGGCCTCATGGATTTTCCAGCCGCCATTGCCATTTGGAAGGTGGACAAGGTTGATTTTTTAGTCTGCCTGAGTGCTTTCCTTGGAGTCATTTTTATCTCTGTACAAGATGGTCTAGCAATTGCAGTAAGTGAACGACTCTTGCCTCTTTTTATTTTTTATTTTTTATGTTTTTCGGGGTTGCAGTTGGGGTGCCCGGTTGGGGGGGGGGGGTCGATTGCGGTCATAAATGTCAGCTTCGGATTCGAACCTTAAATATAGAAGATTATAGAAACCACAATTGCATCCACCGTCTGTGACCCGAAAGCATGGCAGATTGCAGATAAGATGTACCAACTTTGATGACCAATCTCGAGTACTAGTGTATCTCCATCATCCTCGTAATAGATTGGATGGTAGATGTCCTTTGGTGCAACATATAACGCATATGTTTGCATATGATATGAGTGTTCCTGCACCTCTTCCTGGCCCTTTGGGGGCACTAACTATCATCATCATCGTTATCATCTTAGACTTATCTTAACTATTTTGGGGTACTGACTGTAAAGGGCCGTAACTCGGTGGTGGTCCAACCTACACAGGATCCTAGGAGGGGTGAGCTCAAGATGGTCATGTTTTTGGGTTTAATGCTTAAAGTGGCCGATCTCAAGACTTGAACCCGTGTTCTTGTTCTAGCTAGCTGATCCTTTGGGGGTATTAACTATATTACCCGTAAATATTTCTTAAAGTGCTGTGGATGCCCCTTCCACCCACCCTTGCTTCTGCACAAGCAGAGCCATTCAATAAAAAAGAGAAATAAGTTGTGTGTGAGAGAGAGATTCATAAGGGCAGGCTAGCACTCTCTAAACTTTCTTTTTTGGCTATGCAGGCGGGGATATCTTTGTTAAAGGTGCTATTGCAAATCACCAGACCGAATACAGCCCTCCTAGGCAACCTACGTGGAACTCACATCTACTGCAACCTTCAGCATTACAAGGATGCAAGTCGCGTGCCCGGCTTCCTCATTCTAAGCATCCAGGCTCCCATCTATTTCCTCAATTCCACATATATCAGAGAAAGGTAAATCAATCAATCCAAGAAAGTACGAAATTTCATCCACCCTCTTTCTAATCCATTCAATTAATTTGTTGCCATTTCTGATGGTGCAGAATCTCAAGATGGGTTGAAGAGGAAGAAGAAGAAGCCCACGATAATAAGACCACCACTCCACATTATGTAGTTCTCGACATGTCTGGTGAGCTAGTGATCACCCTTTCCCTAAAACTATTCGGAACCAAACACAAAATAGAGAGATTTTGAGAAGTTAATTCACTGATAGCGGAGTTTTTGTTTGGAATTTTAGCTGTGACGGCCATCGATACAAGTGGAATATCGGTATTAACCGAATTGAGGAGCTCATTAAGCAAACGGGGCCTTCAGGTAAGTGTCTCTTTCTCTATCTACAACTGCTTATGATTTGGTTTGTTGGTGGTGAGAGAGAAGTGGATGAAGATATGGACATGATTTTTTGCAGCTTGTGTTGGCCAATCCTTTGGGTGAAGTCATGGGGAAGCTCCAACGAGCGGACCAGATCCAATCTTTTGGAACAGACGGCCTATATTTGACAGTTGGAGAAGCCGTTGCTTCTCTCTCATCCTCACTAAAGGAGCAGCCATGAATGAATCAATACGCTGAGGAGCAACCATGAATGAATGAATATACTCTTTCCATAAAGTAGTCCACTGAGCCAAGCTCCATTTTACAGAGTGAGGTTGATCAAGGCGCCCACTTCTTAATAGAATAACTATTGTTTAGCATTGACCACACTTTTTACAACTGAAAAAAAACGTAATATGTTGGAGGGCTTTGTTGCTGTGAAAAAAATTGTAGCTTCTCTTCAAAACAATGAAGATCACCAGTTCTAAACTTCCAAGTTCTGAAGATGTTGCTAGTGATTACCAGTTGTTGTTGCATGTCGGTGTCCATCAACAGGGTCGGGATTTGTCCGAGTCCACTAGTACTCGGGTGAATGGGCAAGACCGAGTTACCTTAAACATTTAAAAAAATCCAGAAAATCATAAAAGATGGGAGTATTATATATTTTTAATATAAATTGCGTGTTTTGGCAAAGGTTGGTGAGTAGTTTTTAATATTATACCAATTATCATATGTTTTAGATATATTTTACAATCTTCCCTACTGTAGATCAACTTTTTTAAATCCATTTTCTATATATTTTTAAGTTATGGATTTTTAAGGTTGTTTTTTGTATTATTTTACTTGTACTATCTTTATTTTAATTTTTCAAAATTTTCTTTTTTCTTTTCATTTTTTCGAAGATTTTTGGTATTGTACTTGGTTGGGTAAGTGACTCGGATTTGTCCGAGTCTCTTGCCTTGACAAGGGCCGAGAATCTTAGCTGAGGCGAGTCCCATTACGTCAGGATGCATCAACAACCTCAACCACTTTGTTTTGTTCTTTTAATTCTTATCTAAATTTATAATAAGGGTTATGTTAGGGTATATATATATATATAACACCTATAACAATAGTAACAAGTATGCTACTCTAAACATAAACAATATGATTCATGGCTTTATGTTGTATGTCCGAGTTGAACCATTATCAATGATTAAGAAGGTTGGTTTACCCTTAATTGATATGACAGCATATTCTTTCACAATAAGGTTAACTGCTGAAATATTTTCAAAGAATATGAATTTGATGGATTTAATAACTTATAAGTAAGAAACTTCTAAAAGGAATATTTTTAATGTCTTGATCATGAGAGGAAAAGCCGTATTAGTGTGAAATCCCCGTGATGAGGCTATAAATGATTTTTGGGTAATGAGAAGTATATCTAAACGAGTGTGAGAAGCCTCATGAAAAGAATATGCTCATAAATGTTTAATCCGTGACACATGCTTTAAGGTATATTAATGTATTTGGCCATCATAGCCAAGTGGGGGATGGTGATGCATGCCTATGGGACCTCATATATGCCACATATTTTTAGTTCATCTTAATTAATATTTTTTTAAAATATTATATGTATTATTTGTGTTTTATTTTTAAAAAGGATTTTAGATAGAGAAAATACATTTTCCAATGGTTAGTAGATAACTTCCCTATCTCCTAGATTTTGAGGGCCATCTTCTCAAAGATTTCAAAGAAAAGCCGACAATTGGAATAACTGCAAAATAGGGTTTATTGGGTCATGTAAGACCACCATGAAAGCTTGCTTGAGAATTCTTGGAAGACACCATGTCTCTGCAATATAATATCCAAAGACATCGCCCATCAAAATTATGTTTTTCTTTTATGATTTAAATAGTAGAAAATTCGAAGTATGGATCCCTATAACTATTGTTTTTCATCTTCTATTTTATTTTTTTGAGTTCCTTCATCATCCTATTGGACGGCGAGTTCGTATTGCCCAATTTGGCCAATCCAATTGAAGGACGATCCAGAATCCGATTTCAGGTTTTAAAACACCTTTGTGTGGTGTCTGTCCTTATTATCTTGCAACATTAGAGCCCTGTGAAAAAATGGTTAGTCAATAAATGGAAGTCACACGTTTCTGTCACCATGCACAGCACAATTGTTACCAGAGCTGTCCCTAATCTAGGGTTTTAGAATATGCAGTAGTTATGTTCTATTGTTTTCCTTAGTAAATGTGATTCCACTTTGGTGCCATTTTGGACCATTTCGATCCAGTCGACTAGGTAGATCCGACAGTGCAAACAATCCCATCTTTATGTAGTTATGGCTGTGCACCTAATCTAGGGCCCTTTTAGAATTTAAATTCACTAATTTTTAAGGAAAATGGTTTGATAGGGCCGTAGCCCTATCAAAATAAGTAAAGCCTTACCTCATAACTCATCGAAAATTGCAATTCAAGCATTAGAAAACCTTTATAGCGATCATCTTGGCTTGAAAAAAAATAAAATTTCAAGCTCTAAAAATAGAATACATTGTAATAAATTATCTAGACCATTCATTTTGTCCTAGAAATAAGTGTTCATAGATCCACAAGATCAGTACCATTTTTTGAGTTTCGAATTTCATTGTCATTGTTGGAAAATGATTTTGGAGCCATCATGAAGATTTCCATTGCTGAAAGTGCTTTACGGATAAGGATTTGAGGTGAAGCCTTATTTGTATTCATAAGTCCTAGGCCTCATAGAAACCTTACCCATTTTTTGAGAGGGTGTGGTGTGTATAAGGTTGAGGCCCTAAACAATCAAAATAAGGTGCACATTTAAATTATGCCAGAATGAGTTTATTTTCATCCTTAATTACAAATTTGAAAGATAAAAAATAGCGTAAATTGAGCAGATCCATGGACACTTAAATATCTTAAAAATTAACGGTTCAGATAATACATTACAAGATATGCTATTTTTAAATCTTGAAATCGGCCTTTTCTCATGCCCATACATCTTCACGTCTAGATGATCGAATTGAAATTTTTTTAGGATCGAAACAACATCTTTAGTAATTTTTTAGGTGAGCTTTAATTTGATTGTTGAGGGCCTCAGCCTTATATAAACTTTTTTTCTTTTGAAATTGGGAAGTTTGTATGCCAGAAAAAAAAAAACCTATACTAAGGCCTAAAATGAAAAGAAGAAAAGGAAAATTTAGAGAAGAACACAATCCCAGGTTAATTTGACCAAATGGTGAACCTCCCTCATAAAGACCAAGCTAACCTACACTATGTATTAAAAGAATCTAGTTGTGGAATTCTTAGAATTTTTAGATGATCTTTTTTCGGTGATAAACCTTTGTTAGGCTAAGAGTGGGCCTGTCAATAGACTGGCCCTTAAGAGCCATTAAAACAAATGAGTCATGTCCCAAGGGCCAAACTTCTTTGACAGTCCGGTGCATAGTGCATGTCAAATTCTAGGGTATTTTAGAATGGGTATGTTTGTTTAAGGTTGCAACCTTAAGCAAACCAATTAAGGCATACCTCCAAATTTTACCATGTAATTTTGGTGTAAAACTTTCTTAGGGTTATCTGAAAAAAAATCTATTTTTATCTCTAATTGTAAAATTTTAAACTCTAAAAATGGTAATTTTGGTGTAAAACTTTCTAAGGATTATCTAACTATCTATATTTATATCTAATTATAAAAATTTTAAACTCCAAAAATGGTTAAAATTAAGTCGATGTATAAACATATGCAAATCTTGAAAATAGACGGTCTAAATAATGTGTTGCAAGATGCACTATGTATGGGACTCAATATATATATATATATTATATTCATACATGTCAATGTCGGGATGATTACGTTTTCAACATTAAAACATCCTTCTCCAATGATTTTTGAGATTCATCTTTAATTCTATATTTTAAGGTTGCAATCTTTTATAGAGAGGGCGAGCCAGCCACAACCTCAATCAAGCTGGGCTTCAAACCTGAGACATCAGTGTGCATGAAAAACATGACAGCAGGTTCAGCCATCATAGAAGAATTTCCAAGAACCAATCAAGAGCTTCAAGAGCTTTGTGCAATGAAACATTATAAATAGGGAAAAGTTTATATAGAGCTGAGGCTCTAAACAATCAAATTTGAGCCTACCTCAAAAATTTCATCAAAAGAGGTTGTTTTGATGCCCAAATATCTTCAAATTGATCATCTTGACATCAAAAGGCATGGACATGAGAAAAAGATGAATTTCAAGTTTTGAAAATAGTGTATTTTGTAACACATTTTTGGACCGTCAATTTTCAAGATTTTTAAGCTTTCATAGATCTATGAATCTACACTATTTTTAAAGCTTTAAACTTTATAAGTAAATATGAAAATATGTTTTAAAAATATCACAAAAATTTCCAATATTAAAACTATATTTCTCGACACTATTTTAAAGTAGGCTCTAATTTAATTGTTTAGAGCCTAAGCTCTCTTATCGCTTTGTTGTATTAAAATTAGAAGGGCTAGTTAAACCCCATCACAAACCAACTTTTGCGTTGAAACATCATAGATAGAGCCCAAAACCCACACTTCCACGACCTTAGATAACTCCGCCATCAGCACAAAAGACATAGCTTATTCCACCCCTCCGCCATCAGCACAAAAGACCCCCCTCCCCCCCCCGGGGCCACATGAAGATTCATCAAAGCTCGTGGCACGCTCGTCTATGCCAACACAATACACCCTTCATTAAAGCACCATCTCACACACCCATTTCAAAGACCCATCTCAAAGCCTTTCTAAACACTTTCTATACATTTTATTACTCATCCCACCTTAACCCCAAAACCTTTTTGTAAAAAACCTTAGGGAAAATTATAAGTATCCTTAAAATAAACTTTGTAGTTATCCTCTCTAACGATATTTTTAGTATCACACAACAACTCAAAAATTATTATTTTTTGCTTTTTATTCTCCAATAAAAAAGTCAAAATATTTAGAATTAAAATGCCTTTCGTCTCCCTCACTCCCCCTACTCTCCTTCTACCAGCTCTCTCTATCCCTGCCCTCTCTCTCACTCTCTCTACCTTTCGTGCCTACGTGTGTTTTCTTCTCAGCTACTGCACACTGCAGTTTTCATCGTAGCTAATGCGCATTGTTGTTTTCTTCGCAGCTAGCGTGCACTTTAGTTTTCTTATCAGCTAGCGTGCACCTTCTCTCTTTTGCTCTCTACCTGAGCTCTCTCTCTACCTGCCCTCTCTCTCCTCTATCTTTCTCTCTCTCTGCCACCCATTTTTTACCTGTCTTTGTAAACTGCAATTTTGTTTTTTCCCTCTCTCTCTTATCCCCATTAGTTTTTCTGATCTCTTCCTTGTTCAACAACTTCATTTCTGGTTTTTGCTCTTTTGTCCTCTCTCTCATATGATCTCTCTCTCTCATATGAAGTTTTTGTTTGACGAGTGGTAGAAGATGAGAGAGTTTGATTATCTTGGAAGGCAGTGAAAAGGG